CACTCTGAGGTAGAATCAACCCAATGGAGGTGGAGCAGTGTTTCTGTCTCACTAGCCCTTCCCCAAGGTACAGCATGTATCTTTTAATTGGTCTTTGAGTTTTGGGGACAAAAATCTGAAGGGACAGACAATATCTGGCCTATAGGGAGAATAGAGTAAGGTTACCCAACAAAATGCTTGTAGAATGGCCTATAAGCATGAGCAGGTGAACTTGATGTGATAGAGGAAAATTCCTTAGCATAACTTTCTTGGTATTTTACCAATGCAGTTTTCCATTTTCTTTAAACTTCTTGCTAATAAGCCCCCATGATTGTCCTGTGTCCTTTGAGAAATTCTATCAAGATTGTCCCTTGTGACCCCAGAAAGCAACCTCTGTAACTTGAGCTGACCTCTGTGCTGTGAATTTAACTGACCCAGCAGAGCCGTGGACGCCACTATTTTGACTGGGCCTTGCTCTCTGGGTTTTGGCAAACTTGAGTCATTCCATTGCAGAAAATCATCTTCATTAACTTCAGTCTTCCTTACAAGATTGTTGGGAAGATAAGCTCTTTGAATTAATTGATATTCACATAACACTTTTGGCACTCATCAAGCCTAAAGCTTGCTGGGGCCAAGATGTTCTCTTAAAATTAAAAATGCTAAACCATGTGAGACCTCAGCTTCAGTACCTATTGCATCAATGGAAATTTTACACTCTTTCATCAGTTTCTAGACTTCAGCCACATTGAGGTTGATGGTCTTCTCTCAGTTGACTTATCTTTAAGGTCATCCAGGCTTTCCTTAAAATGCTTTTGATCCAGAAATCAGAGTCATAGCATGAACAGATATTTCGCAGTACTGTTTGCAATATCAAGAAAATGGGAGCAACCTGAGTGGCCATAAGTGGATGAATAAACTTTGGTACTTTTGTTACTGACTTCACTTAGTGTGCCTCAGTTTACCATGCCCACCCATACTGTAGTATGTCCCACAACCTCTTTTCTTCTGCTGACTGAGTAGTCCAGAGTGTGGATGTACCATATTTTTTATCCATTCATCTGCTGGGACAGTTAGGTTGTTTCTGCTCTTTGGTTATAGTGAAAGAATGCTGCACGGAACACTGGTGTACAAGTCTCTGAATCTCTGCTTTCAAGTCTCTTGGGCATATAATCCTAGGAATGAAATAGTTGGATCACATGGTAGTTCTATTTATAGTTTTTTGAGGTATTTCCACACTGGTTTCACCACCTGCTCCACTGCCATCAAGTCAGTGCCAACTCTATAACAACCCTGTAAGACAAGGTAGCACGGCCTCTGTGAGTTTCCAAGACTAACTCTTCACTGGAGTAGAAAGCCCATCTTTCTCCCGAAGAGGGGCTGGTGGTATCAAACTGTCAACTTTGCAGATCACAGCCCAATGTGTATCCACTATGCCACCAGGGCTCCTTTTTCCAAATGTGTACCAGTTTGCATTCCTAATAGCAATGGATAAGGGCTCCAATTTCCCCATTTTTCTAACCAGTGTTTGTTATATGCTGTTTGTCTATTTGTTTATCTTAGCTATCCTAAGACAGGAGCCTGCCCAGTGAGCCCTGAACTTTACCTGCTCTGTTGACTTGTCTCATCATGTCACCTCTGAACCTGTGTCACCTGCCTCACTGCTGCTGAGTCATTCATTGTTCCTCCATCCATTTTCTGCCCTCATGTTCTGTGGCTTAGGTTACAGATGGTTGCTAATAGTCCTTTGTGTTTTTCCATTTCTCCTCATTTGAGGATGACTTGCAAGGATAACGGGGCAGAAAGAATTTCACCTAGCTGCTTTTGAACCAGATAACTTTTAATAATCAGAAAATAACAAAAAGCTTATTTTCATGTGAGAGAAAATCAAGTTATAATACTTAAGGGATTTAGTAATGGAAAGTCATGACTGTAAGAAGCACTTGAATTACTGGAAATTTTTATAGAAATCTTGATTTTTTTTAAAAACCTGGGAGAAGAAATGAAAAGGGAGAATTGGAGTAGGACTGTGGTACAGGTTCTTCATGAATATCGTGAAGAACAAAGGTAGAGCTTAGCTCAGGTACAGAAACGAAGGAACACCACAAGTTTGAGGTAGTGAGGAGGCAAGGAAGAGCCCTTGTAGTACTATGGGGTACTGTTGGGCTGTTAACCTCAAGGTCAGTGGTTCAAACTCACCAACTGCTTTGTGGTAGAAAAATGAGGTTATCGGCTCCTATAAAGATTTACAGCCTCAGAAACTACATAGGGTCACTATGAGTTAGAATCAACTCGATGGCAGTGAGTTTGGGGTTAAAGAAGCAAGGTAAGGTAGCCCATACCCAGTGGAGTAAAGTTTGTACTTTTTTCTTTATTTCTTTTTTAAATTAATAAATCATTTTACTGGGGTCTCTTAAAGTTCTTATAATAATCCATACATCAGTTGTATCAAGCACATTTGTACATATGTTGCCAACATCATTTTCAAAACATTTTCTTTCTACTTGAGCCCTTGGTATTAGCTCCTCTTTTTTCCCTCCCTCCCCTACCCGCTCATCCTCATGATCCTTGATAAGTTATTATTATTTTCATATACTATCCACTGTCTCCCTTCACCCACATTTCTGTTGTTCATGCCTTTGGCCTGGGGGGGCTGGGTGGGCTTATACGTAGATCATTGTATAAGCCGGCCCAAATATCAGCCGAGGCACCTAATTTTACCACCAAAAAACTGCATTAAATGTGCTGAAAAACTCAGCTTATACACGAGTATATACGGTAATCATTTCCCCATTTCACCTCCCTCCACCTTCCCCTAAAGTCTGTACTTTTTAAATAAAAGACACCAATAATTTTATGACTAGATGATAGCATTTTTCACATCATTGCTGAATTTACTCAATGGCAGTGAAGTAGTTAACAAATACTCTGCTTCGGACCCCTTTAAAATTTTATTTTGAAAAATGTATGAAAGTATAAGTTCTTGGAGCAATTAGTTCCAAGCAAGTATCTCCTATTATCAATGACTCTTCATGTTCTTCAACCTACTTTGCTGCTTCCGTTTATTTTTGTTCAGTGGAATTTAGTCAATGAACAGCAAAATTATACTGTTGAAATGTAATTTTGGCTGACCTAAATGTTGCTTCTTTCAAAACTGAGTAAGAAATATTTTCCCTAAGGATTTAAAATATACTAAATATACTGGTGAGCTCTTTAAATCAATATAATCAGCATAATCAGCAGATGCTTTTCAATGTTTAGAAACGGGATGTTTTTTAATATGGCAAGTCTTATGAGTTCATACTTTAAAACAGTAAGCATATTTGCCACTGCAGATGCTTGTTTTGTATCCTGCTACTTTGAAATGGATTCAAGTTCTCTGCACACTTAACTCGACTATTGGAGCTATTGTTCTTTGGATATAATCACAAATATTTAATTAGAATGCTGAGTAAAACTGATTTTCTTCGTCAAAAAATTTTATGTGCAAAGTATTGCAGATTTTAGCAATCTAGTCTCCCGACACTGGCCCTGTATTTTATCCTACGTAAACTGCATTGGGGAATCTCATTTCTTGAAATTCTGTATTTTACATTGTAGATTCTAAGCCATAATGCGGGAGAACGATGGGGCTTTTTACTCAGGTGAAGAGTTACAGTCCCGGAAACTCACAGCTCTAACCTGTCCTATAAGGCTAGAGACTTGATGGCAGTAGGTTACGCCTTACTCATTTCATAGGAAAGGCAGTGCCCTATCAGAAATGTATCTGCTTGTCTTTCAAATTATCAAAGATAATATAAGAAAGTGGGTGGGTGGGTGGATGTAGGTGTGAAATCTTAAATAGTCAGTCCTGTGTCTTCCAAAAACTGCTTAGACCGTCAGAATTTTGAGTTGACTGATTATTGGACTGAGTTGGAAAAACTGCATTGAAAATGAGAATTACTTACTGTCTGGGGGTGCTTGGTTATTTACTAAATTCTTGCCGGTTTTATAACTTTAAATTGTTCAAATTTATAATCAATAGGAAAAGAAACAAGCAATGAATAGAGGAACAGTAAAGTAGCAGCTCCCAAATACCAGCTTATAGTGTTGTGACTACCTCTTAAAAAGAATGTGCAGGTCTGCTGTGACTTACAAAAAGTAAGGCATGATTAAGATGAGAATTTCAAAACTAGAAATTGTTCATGTTTTGAGCGTGTAGTATGGCTGAGATTAGAGAAGTAGCTTTTTCTGATCCACCCTGGAAATTAGCTGCAGAGGAAAAAACTAAAACACATTTTTTGGTTCCACGACCCTTTGGAAATAATGGGTATGAGGTAAACCAATTTATTAAAGTGGGAACAAGTTATTTTGAAACTGCTGTCCTACATCTCCAATACTCTTATTCATGTACCCAGTAAGCTTTTGTCTTGAGTCCATTTAGGGCTTAATATATGAACTCTGCAATGTGAATGACAAATGGTTAATGGTATTTTTTTTTCCCCCTCAGGTACGTCCAGAAAGTGCCCAGAAGAAACGTCCTGCCAGAAAAACTGAAAAGGCAGTATTTATAACACCAGACATTGTGGATACCGTAATTTGTTAAGATGGCAGAAAACATTGAAAATACTAGTAAAGATGTAGATGTAAGGCCGAAAACGAGTCGGAGTAGAAGTGCTGACAGAAAGGATGGTTATGTATGGAGTGGAAAGAAGTTATCATGGTCAAAAAAAAGTGAGAGTTGTTCAGATGCTGAAACAGTGGATGACCTCGAGAAAATGGAAGCTCCTTTAAGGAGCCAGGAAAGGAAGCACAGCTGTTCATCCATCGAGTTGGACTTGGATCGTTCCTGCGGGCATAGGTTTTTGGGCCGATCTCTTAAGCAGAAACTGCAAGATGCTGTGGGGCAGTGTTTTCCAATAAAGAATTGTAGTCGGCACTCGTCAGGGCTTTCATCTAAAAGGAAAATTCATATCAGTGAACTCATGTTAGATAAGTGTCCTTTCCCACCTCGATCAGATTTAGCTTTTAGATGGCATTTTATCAAACGACACACTGCTCCTATAAGTCCCAAATCAGATGAGTGGGTAAGCACAGACTTGGCTCAGAGCGAATCAAGGGATGGGCAGCTAAAACAAAGGAGGAACCTGGAAGATGTTAACCCCTTCTCACATACCAACGTTCAGCCGTGTGTCATAACTACCAACAGTGCTGCTTGTAGAGGTGGTCCTGTGGTTGGCTCTATGATAAACTTGGTTTCAAACAACAGTATAGAAGATAGTGATATGGATTCAGGTGATGAAGTTATAACACTTTGCACAAGCTCCAGGAAAAGAAACAAGCCCAAATGGGAACTGGACGATGAACTCCTGCAGTTGGAGACGCCTCCAAAGTACCACACCCAGATTGATTATGTCCACTGTCTTGTACCAGACCTCCTTCAAATCAATAACAATCCATGTTACTGGGGAGTCATGGATAAATACGCAGCCGAGGCGCTACTAGAAGGAAAACCAGAGGGAACCTTTTTACTTCGAGACTCAGCACAGGAAGACTACTTATTCTCTGTTAGCTTCAGACGCTATAGTCGTTCTCTTCATGCCAGAATTGAACAGTGGAATCACAACTTTAGCTTCGATGCACATGACCCTTGTGTCTTCCATTCGCCTGACATTACTGGGCTCCTAGAACATTACAAGGACCCGAGTGCCTGTATGTTCTTCGAACCGCTTTTATCCACTCCTTTAATTCGGACTTTCCCTTTTTCCTTGCAGCATATATGCAGAACAGTTATTTGTAACTGCACAACTTACGATGGTATTGATGCCCTTCCAATTCCTTCTTCTATGAAATTGTACCTGAAGGAATATCACTATAAATCGAAAGTTAGAGTGCTCAGGATTGACGCACCCGAACAACAGTGTTGAAAAGGGCAGGCCTGTCTGGTGATTACACACACAGGTCCCTACGTAACACTCAGCAGTTATCATTTAGCCACTCTGACCTTTTTTTCCATGAAGGGTTGTTGGAGTCCCGAAAGCCTGCCCAACAGCCTTCTTCCAGATCAGCTTATGCGTCTTATGATACACTAATCGTTTAAGGTTATACACTAGGGTTGACGGCTATTTTTAACCAGTTTTTGTTTTTAACCATAGATTATATACTTTTTTTCATTGTAATTTCTATAACAGTATGTTGGAAATTTGGGATTCATTGCAAAACAGTTGACTATTTTGTTTTCTATACTTTCCTTTAAAAATCATACTCTATCCTTTCTACATGTAAATTCTTCTGTAAATCTGTACCACTGGTATTCCCCACCCCATATTCCATGAATTGGTTTAGAATTCTTCAGTAAAGTGGATTGCAATTCACAATTCATGCTAAATATCATTTACTTTTATAATTTTCTAATAGGGATGTTAAAGGTAGAAAGAGGGTTTGAAATCTAATGGTGATTTTTGTGTTTTTGTTTAAAGCATCTATTATCAATGAAAATGTGGGAGACTGTATTTCTCCCTCTCTCTTTTTTGTACTTCAGCGTGGTATCTACAACTTGAGGGGTCACTCCACATGATTTCAGAATTTCCCACTAGTCATCTGTGAATGTTGACGTTCTGAGGCAATGGAGTTTTTTCCTGAAAGCATCTCTTAGTTTGCTTTCAGATATTCCTCTGACTAGGGGTAACCCCTGACCTATAAGTTTCAAATAGTTATTTTGCTGACTTGATAGAGTGCTGCTAAGGCCCACTTTGGAAAGGTTGAAGGTGCTATTTTCACAGAATCCAGATGTCATACTGCCTTGGTACAGGGAAACCATTCTGTTCCAAATGTCATCTCTAATCTCCAGGCATCTCTCACTCAACTTTGGTATCTCATCTTTTCCTATCTCAGGATTAGGATAAGAGTAGAATCAAAGTCTGTAAGAAAATTGAATATTGCTACCAATCTTGTCATTTGTACTTCTTTCACAACCATATGAATCTAAATAAGAAGGGGAGCTGCTGTGAGTGATACCTGGGTTTTTAGGATTCTTCAAAAAGCATTGTTGTATCAGGTACAGGACTAGAACTGTATACCACATAAGAAGCTACATCTAGCCGCGAGTATTCGACTGAGTAATGTTGAGACTTGCAATAGCCTTGAAGACACTGAACTGTCTTTCAGCAGAGAATATATGTAAGAGCCTACTCAGGAATCCTTGCACAGTGCAGCTAACATGTGGGTCCTAATTGATGAATGGAGCATCATCTGGTATCATTTGAACAAGACACGTCTGTCTAATACCCTTTTAGAAGCCATGCAGCCTTAGATCCATCATCTTATAGGATAAATTTGGGGGTATCAAAGGTATATCTTTATGTCTTTAATAATGCTGTAGATTATAATTGTACTTATTGCCATCTAAGTATGTTTTTGTCTGATTTGTCATCATACAAAATTAGTAAAGCAAGAAGGTATCCCTGGTTAGATGGCAGGGCTACATACTCAACTGATGCCCCCAGATTTGGGAGACTGATAAGCCTGAGTGTTAGCCATTGGTAATTGGTCCTTGATGATGTGTTTTCATTTTAAATATTAACTATAGAGCAGAATTGCGAAATTTTGTCAGAATCAAAGAGAATGTGACAATTTGGAGGTGCATTTATGCTTCTATAGTGTGGCTGGCCTGTTGGTTGTTGAATGAGTCTCAATCTGGAAGAATAAAGCCACCTCTAAAACATAAATGCAGTTCTTTTCTCATTGACAGCTTTAGAAGGAATGATTGATAACACTGTTAGTAGTTTACTTACAAATTGTTACTTCTATTTAGCCCTTTTATAGGAATTCTGCACCCGCTACTTTCACAATTTATAAACAGCCATAAATTTCCACTAACCAAAGAGAATCTATAGAATGCTTTGTTATTTTAAAATGAACTTGAACAAAGATTCCAGAATTAAACATGAGCTCAGTATACTTTAGGAGGCCTAAAATTGTTTTTAATCTTCAGATAGTGATTTCTATTCACAGAGTTATGTTTTTAATATGGCCTCAAAAAACCACAAAAAACCTCTTGACAGTTACATGGCTTATGCCATATGAAATAGTATTGGGCAACAAGGATAATATTTTAAATTATCCCAAGAAGCAGCAGCATTTTTAGAAACATCCTTAGCTTAATGTAACTAATAATGGCTGTACATGGACCATTCCAATTCAACAATCTCTGTACACACATACTACTCCATGACATAGATGACTCAGATTTACGACCGTTCTCACCCTCCTCTTCCAGGCTCTCCTCATTAACATGGACTCACTGCCCTGAAATTTCCTATTTAATCTTTTATAACTCCTTTTTAAGATTCAATGAGGAATAAACTTCTTATTCATACTCTGAAGACAGTTGCCCAATTTTCTTTTGGTGATTTGTTTCTGAGTACAAATTGACATGTTTAATATAGTGATTGATTTTTTTTTTTTTTTAGCTCTACTAGGAAGCTGCTTCTATTTAGGCGGAAGAAATTTGATTTCCAAGTTGTTGCTTTACGTCAAAGTAGTGTTTCCTTATTTTGCAGCTCTTCTGTGAACACAAAGATGGCATTTTTAGTCAGCGCTTTGTAATAAAATGTTAGCATTGATTATAGAACTAAACCAGGAAATTCTCTGGTAGCCTATCAGCTTTTTTTTTTTCTTCAGTGATCACAAGTTTGTCTTGATCTCAATGAATGGTGGCTAATAAAATGTCATCTCAGCAGTGACGAGGCCCAAGATAGTCCAACACCAGTGTCAAGTGACACCACTTCAAAAGATGGTGTTTCTTTTTTACAAAAGTAGGAAATCTCATTACCTCATCTAGTAGCACTTTGTGGATCACTGAGAAGGCAGTCTTGTTAACGAATGTAATGCTTCCTGTATACTCACCTTTGGTGAAAGAAAATTAATAGTATGGTAAGACTGATTATAGTTGTTATCAGGATTTGATAAGACTTTCTGTTTCTGTGAAACAATTATTTTAGAAAATTTTCTTTAAAAATAACTTTTTATCTACAGGAAAACCTAAGGGAAGACTAGCTAATGAATATTCTGTTAAAGTGTAGTTTTATAAAGAATAAATATAATTATGTTGCCTTTTTTATAATAGTTAAAATTAGTGTTTATATGAAAGTCAAGATCTCAGTAGTTTTTCATATAGTTCAAACTGGTTGCTGTAATATATATTTTCTTTTTTTTGCCCCCAACTTGTAAGGTATTAACAGCTGTTAACATTTTCAGAATACTGCCATATATAGCTTTGATGTAGATCCAATAAATGGGAGCAAGGAAGAGACTCATTTACTCTGAAATGATTTGTATTGTTCCTTTGTTGGCAATGAGAAGAAATGTGGAAAGTAGACCTATAAAGACTTGAGAAGGGATTTATTTGCCATAAAGAGAAAAGTAGTAATTGATGTTTCAAACATTACAAGATGGGAATTTAGAAAGGTGAGATCCCTTTCGCTGTGACAAGTTGGATATTGAGAATATTTGAGTGTACATTCCAGTGTTGAGAGAGCATTCAGTATGGTGGCGCTATGTAGTGCTTATTGGCAAGAGAGGGTGAAGCTAAAAGAAACAAGATAAAATATTAAAATTAAGAATTAAGGCATCACCTCTGGGAAAAGCCTTGACAGAGAGAGGGAGTTACTTCATCGCTAAGAGCTAGTCTGGACCAGACACTTAACTGTGCTTTGGGATTCATCCTGCACTAATCAGGAAATAAACTTGACTTCTATTTCTCTCCGAAGCATTTTAAGGTATGCCCTCCTCCCCCCTTTTTAAAGCTATAGCATTTTGATTCATACTATAATTTCTTAAATAGACTGAATAGATTTTTTTTAAGGTTCCTTGAACAATTTTGTATAAAGAGTTATATGTGATCTTTCTATAACATGCCATTCGCTTAAGTAATTCAGAGAGGGAATGCTTTAATTTAAAGGAAGACCTAATAGGAAGAAGATGAAAGGAAGCTTTTAGTCAGCTTATGCGTAGATTTATTGATTTGGTTCTCAAGCCTGTGTTTTTTCCTGAATTTCAGCTCATAGGTAACTGTAGTCAGAGTGGCTTTCAGTTAAACTTTTGACGTATAAATAATACAAAGGATGTCTTCGTAATTAGAAATCCTTTAAAAAGTAGAACAATTGTGGCAAATGGGATTCGTGTCATTGCACAAATTCATTTTTTTAAGAAAAACATAAACCATTATTTATTCATGAGCCAAAGCCATTAAGACAAATCAGGTTATCAGCTTCCTGTCTCCAGTTCATTTTATAGATCCACATAATAGAGAACTTCCTTCCTATGAAACAGAAACCTTGAGCTCTAACTCCCTTCTAAGTGTGTATGCACCTACTTTTCATTAGAAATACATTTTCTCGCTGTTAGCTATAAACAGTCCAATAAACAGCTTATACATTGATTTTGGTAGAGCAAGTTTCACAGGAAAGTAGACTTTGTAAGGTTTATTCCTAAAGAAAACTACATTTTTAGATGTTAAATAGCCTTACAGCTTTAGTAATTTAATATCAAAGTAAATGAAAAGTTTTAAGCCAAGCTAATTTTTCAGTGAAGGATCTATAATTTTTGTTTCAGAAAAAAATTTCCATTTGTTTCTAAAGAAAGACCGGAAAGCACAAAGATTATTTTGGATTTTTTAAATTGCGTACTAGAAATAGCAATGCTACAAGCATCTGTCTATACTGTTCTGATATATTAAAATACTGGTCACAAGTGGTCATTTTAAGTTGAAAGGTAGACTAATGAATATAACTCAATAGAGAGGGACTTAGTGCACATGAATCCTGTTCCAAGTAAAGCCAAAGTCTTATCTTTGATTTACTTTGTGATTTTGAAGACCTCTACTGACTCCTAAGTGTATCTTTGCCTTCACTTACTAACATAAGATGTTAGGATTGTCACTTGGCTTCCTGAAGGTGAATTCTTGAGCTAGGTGGTGGCCCTTGGAGCATACTTGAAAATAATTGCTGTACAGCTGTATAAGTATTAATGTGGTGATAGGTTTTCAAACAATCTCCCTCAGTGGATCCTGCAGAATCATGTTAACTTTTTAATGTGTAAGAGTCTTTTCTTGGCTTGGTTTGACAATGGAGATTACAGTACAAATTTAGGGTTCAGACTCTACAATTAGATGAACAATTGTCATTTCCTCATACCCTTCAAAAGGGCTATGTAAAATTGATCTTTGCCTAACTTATTTTAAAAGTTGATTACATTTGAGAGGAATACAAATCATTTTTGCCATGGATCTAATCAAATCAAATTTCAGACTTGAGAGCCATGGTGTAAAACTCAAAGGCAGTTTACTCAAATGATACTGACTTTGCAAGAGTTAGATAAAAATCATAAGCCAATATGAGCTTGGTATACATGTCAATGTACAGGGTTCCAATAGCCAGTTCACAAAGCTATTAGTATTCTTGTCAATCAGACTTGTATGATCTATTCTCCACTTGTTTCTCCTTGAAAATAGACTACTGTATTTCCATTTTTATCTCTAATCCTGAAGTTGAACATTTTCTTCTTTGGATATGAGTTAAAGTGATTGGAGTACATTTTCTTCTTAATTAAAACTTCATATATAAAATCCGAAGGCTTTGTATTTTGATTTTAAAATTACCCTTACCTCGTGTTACCAATTTAGAATTTGGTGGAAAATTGTTCTTATAAATTTTTAAATATATGGTTCAAAAATCCTTTTAGTTTCTAATGTGCACATTTGGGTCTTCAGAAAACAGATCCCAAGGTAAGATTAGATAGCAAATGTGTGGTGGGGGTGGAACCTAAAGGATGAAGGGAGAAGCAGTAGGTGAAGATAGAGAAGTCTGACTACCTTGCAGGGGTGGCACCTGTGAAAAAGGATTAGGTGGGGTGGACTTCAGACTAGTGACGAGAGAAAAGCCAGATGGTTGGGTGTGGGGTTTCCCAAACGAGTTGCCTGTAAAGCCTGTGTGGAATGAATAGCCTGACTAAAAACCAAGCTGGTCTGATAAACGGGGCCAGTTGAGTCAGGTACTTGTGCAGTGAATGCATTTAATATGGCTCTTATAGCAAGAGCCTTTGGTACGCCTACCAAACAGCCTGCACTTTCCAGGTGAGCGTGTGTAGGAAGATGGGGAGATGCTATGTGCCATCCAGTCTTCTGTAGAGGCCCTGTGAGCAACAGACTGCTGGCCCTGGGCCAACCTCCCTTGTTGCAGCCACTGTGGGATAAGATACTGATTGGATTGTATGCTTCAGCTATGAGTAATTGTTAACAGGGTTCATTGTGATTGCTATCCTGCTGGCCATAAAATAAGTCAGAAGCAGGAAGATGGGAATCTCACTACCAGCAAGAGCGGAGTGCCAGGTGTGGAGCCACGACCTTTGTCCGACATCTATATGCAGTGAACTTCCTCGATTCAATAGCTTTGATTCCAGATAAGCAGAATCGGGAGACAATACGAGAAAGTATTGGGTTTCCCTGCCCACAGCAACTAAAGCTGAATGCTTTGGGGCAGGAAGCTGAGTGGGGTGTCTCCAGGCACTTAACTGGGGGAGATAGGTTGGCTGACCTACAGAACTGGATCTGAATGCCTTCAGGCTGAGGCCTATGTAGGCACAGCATGCCCTTTGGGCATTTACTAGCCCCCAAAGAACTTTCTAACATTGCCCAAGTAGTTGAGGGCCAGAGAGAAGCATGCCTTCAGGTATGGTACAGCAGAGGACAAACTCCTGACTAAACTATACCCAGCATTTCTCACCTGAATTGTAACCTGTTAACCTTTCTAATAACCCCATAACCGTCAACTGAGAGTTCTGTGTGGCCATTGCAATGACTTAATTGAATTTAGCAACAGAAGAAGTCTGAATACAGGATGGGCAGGGGAGGGGGGTTGTAATATCTGATCTGTGCCTTGGGGCAGTTAGCCTTCAGAGCCAAGGAAGACATGGCCCCCAGACCATTTTCACAACTTGGTATATTTGTTAGGACAAACTCAGCAATAAATAAAGATAAATTTTAACTTAATGTTTTGAAAAATCAGAATTACCCCACACACACTTGTAATTTTTTTTGTTACTGATGAACAACAAAACCCCACATCATTTGCCTCCAAGCCAATTCTGACTCCTGGCAACCCCAGGTGATTCAGTAGAACAGGGCTCCCTAGCGTTTTCTATCTCTTCTTTCAGAAGCAGATGGAAATTTGCTGCAGACTACCACCACGATCCAGGAGCTGAAAGACACATGTAACAATTCATGGTTCCTCAGGCCTTAATACCCTTCAGTGGAGTTCATTCCCTACCTCTGAGGGCAGGGTAGGTTGTCCACATTAGTGACAGGTATCAGCTTAAATTCTGAGCATTCCATTTGCAGAAGGCTATGGATAACAGTGAAAGCCTAAAACCTATTTAGAGGGCCCCCACGGGTGATTAATACTACATTGAATTCTTTCTGGCCATTAACCAGGGATGTGAAGTCTTGCCCTCAAGCAGAGTGCACTGGAAAGTGGATTACCTCCATCCTTCAGCTAGTCCAGGAGGGGCAATCTCCCTTAGGGGTCCTAGCTTGGTGTGCCCTGGATAGAGGTCACCTTACTGGGGTCCCCAGAGTCTTGACTCATGACTTAAGAGTCATACCCTCACTACTTGGTTGGGAGGCAGGCCCTGGACCAATCTTGTAAACTTTTTTTTTCCCCTTTAGTATTTGATTCTTTTTTAAAAAAATCATTTTATTAGGGGCTCATACAACTCTTATCACAATCCATACATACATCAATTGTGTAAAGCACATTTGTACATTCATTGCCCTCGTCATTCTCAAAACATTTGCTCTCCACTTAAGCCCCTGACATCAGGTCCTCATTTTTACCCTTCCCTCCCCACTACCCCCTCCATCATGAGCCCTTGATAATTTATAAATTATTATTTTGTCATATCTTGCCCTGTCCGATGTCTCCCTTCACCAACTTTTCTGTTGTCCATCCCCCAGGGAGGAAGTCACATATAGATCCTTGTAATCGGTTCCCTCTTTCCAACCCATTCTCCCTCTACCCTCCCAGTATCGCCACTCACACTACTGGTCCTGAAGGGATCATCCGCCCTGGATTTCCAGTTCCTATCTGTGCCAGTGTACATCCTCTGGTCTAGCCAGGCTTGCCAGGTAGAATTCGGATCGTGATAGGGAGGGGGCAAGGGGGGGGAAGCATATAGGAACTAGAGGAAAGTTGTATTTTTCATCGTTGCTACATCGCACCCTGTCTGGCTCGTCTCCCCGAGACCCCTCTGCAAGGGGATCTCCAGTGGCATACAAATGGGCTTTGGGTCTCCACTCCGCACTCCCCCCATCATTCACTATGGTAAGATTTTTTGTTCTGATGATGCCTTATACCTGATCCCTTAAACACCTCGGGATCACACAGGCTGGTGTGTGTCTTCCATGCGGGCTTTGTTGCTTCTGAGCTTGATGGCCGCTTGTTTACCTTCAAGCTTTTAAGACCCCAGACGCTATATCCTTTGATAGCCGGGCACCATCAGCTTTCTTCGCCACTTTTGCTTATTCACCCGCTTTGTCTTCAGCGGTTGTGTTGGGAAGGTGAGCATCATAGAATGCCAATTTAATAGAACAAAATATTCTTGCATTGAGGGAGTACTTGAGTGGAGGCCCAATGTCCTTTTGCTACCAATCTTGTAAACTCTTCTATCAAAAATGTACCCATCCCAGGCCTAGTTCTGTTCCCTCTTTTGTAGTCCCACCTGTAACTGTGACGTATTGATCTGTCACCACTCATGATTTTGTGACAGTTTCCTTTATTCTCCATTCCTTTATCAATAGCTGCATGGCTATAAATCCTTGGAGGCCATGATGACTTTGGCCTCTCTCATTTATATCTTTGTCTTGCTTAAGACTTACTACATGTCCTTAAAATATATTTAAGGTCTCATACCCTAAAACGGGCACAACTTTCAATAGACCACAGAGCTTGTGTTCTATCTGGAACTATGTTTCCAGAGTTGCTGCCTCCGTGCACGTCTCAGTTCGAGAACTATGTAAAAGTATGCTTCTGAAGAGCACACGCTGCTTTTTAAGACGCTTCTGGTCAAGGCCAGCCCTTTCCTCTCTCTGCCAGCTTGCTCAAAGCAGTAAAGTGATATAGATATACTGAATACTTTTAATATATTTGACATGAGACTTACTGAATATCTAGCTCTTGCTATTTTACACACCATATAATCATGACACTATAACTAGCCAGTAGGTTACTGATGTTTAGGGTCCTGTGTTAATCATTTTGGGGGTCTGTGTAGGTGTTTCAATGTTTATTCAATAATAAACGTGTGGACCGAAGAGGCACTGATTGGAAAAAAATGTGAAAAGAAACCGTTTAAGTTAATATCAAGTTATGACGATCACTACCGTACTTCCTCTCCTGCATTGCATCTCAAACAAAATCTCAAATTCACTGTCAAGTCGATGCTGACTTACGGCGACCCTAGAGGGCAGGTGGACTGCCCCAGTGGGTTTCAGAGACTGTAACTCTTTTACGGAGTAGAAAGCTCCATCTTTCCCCCGACCTACGGCTGGAGGTTTCCAACCAGTTCGCCACCAGGGATCCTGTTGTTCCTCTAGCTCTCCCCAAGTTTAACACGAAAGTGGCTGCGTCCCCGAGAGTCGGACTGCACACTGGCCGCACCCACATTTCACCTGCTTGGAGGGCTTGGCTAAAAACCGCTGTTCGTCAGGAAAACGGAACGGGCCTTCAAGGCCACCCGTTGGGAATTTCCGTACTGCGGCCGTGAACTTCACAGCCCGGAGCGTTCCCTGGGAACTCCGGAAATGCGAGATGCTCGCGTCGGTCCGAAGGCGGAATTGCTGCTCCGGGACGGCCGCTAGGGGGCGGCGCAGAGGCGCTGGGGGCGGCGGGGAGGCGGGGCGCGGGCGGGGATGGCGCGCGAGACGTGAGGCGCTTCCTGTTCCGGCGCCAGGAGGAGCCGTGCGCTGCGAGTGCTGGTGCTGTCGCTGTCGCTGTCGCTGCTGCCGTCGTCAGTCCGGCTGCGCTCGCTTCCTCAGCGCCCAGTTCTCTCGGACCCCTCGTCGCTTCTACACCGTGCTCTGCGGGTTCGGATCGCGCTGGGTGAGGCTGCCTCGGCGCTCGCGGGGGTCGTAGAGGGTGGCGGGGGCAGCTCGGAATGGTGGGCTCCCCCAGCAAAGGCAGGCGCGCGAACAGAGGTGCCTAGAGTTCTCTGCAGCAATTGGGCCATAGCTTCTTACCTCTTAAGGTTCCTTCTTGTGGGCCCTCCCTGCTCCCCATCGCCCCCCGGGGAGAAGGCGGCCTAGGCTGGTGACGTCAGGCTTCTGGACGCTGGGCTTGACGTCAGGCTGTGCTGGGGGGTTGGGGGGGGTGAAGGCGGGAGCGGGCCTGGCCCCTCCCCCACTCCCGCCTCCCACCCGGCCTGCGCGACCCGCTTGGTGGCCGGTTCGCTCCGGCTGATCCCGGATTTCCTTTGTTCCTTTGGTCCTAAAGGGCTGCTGCCCTCGGGCCCCTGGGCTCTGACCCTCCCGATTTATTAATTTCTAATAAAGCGGGCAGGGCTTGAGAGGGATCCCTGGCTAATTTAAGTTTCCGCCGCCGTGACCACGCTGCGGTTATTGCTAACCAGAAGAGCTGCCAGCCAGCAGCTGCGTTAGATGAAGCCCCACGACAGAAACTCCCAGAGGCGCCGAGTTTCCCATGAGACTTTGTAGGATTGAGGCGCACTTACTGAGCCATTTTCTCTTTACCTGGGAAGCCAAAAATAGTGCTTGCCGTAGGTAAAACGATGTACATTTTTGGCTTTAAGTTTTTTATAGTATTACTGTTAACAGCAGTGGCTATAAAGGCCCGTTTTGAAGTCGAGCTCTGATTACAAGCAAAGGTAGCCTTCCGAAATCGTTTGGTCAGTAGTGTTCTTTGGGCAAGGAAAGTAGATAACTCCCTCCCCCTCGCTTTCCCTCCCTCTCACCTTCCCCCACCCTCTGGGACTTTTGACTATATTGCCTTTCTTGAAATGCACATTTCCTTTTTCCGGCGGAAACAATTGTAACTTCCCCCAGTCTCTTAAAACCGTTGGGGTCACCGTTTCTGATTCAGAAATGTTTAGATTTTAGAAAGACAATATGGTGCATAAGTCCTGGCAGCACCCCCAGCCAGGGCCGGGTAGGGTGGGGGAGTGTCAAAACAACCTGGCAATCCAACAAGAGTATTGGTGTGATGATGGCTATGAATATTTACCCTAAATGGGGATTCATGGAAACTATAAATAGCTTCAGGTCAGATTTTGCCCCCAAACAAGTTTTAGGCCAAAGTTGGGGAACATTTCTTTGCGTTTTCAGCGGCTTTTAGAGCGAGAACTGCCCATAAGGGTTTGTGGGCTTGTAGTAGTGGCTGTATAGTCTTTGTTGAGATTTTGCTAGGTGTCAGGCAGTGACTAAGAGATTGGCTTGTTTACTTACTGTGTGAGTCTCAGTGAAACTGGGAGGTGAATGCTATTTGTATCTTCTCTGACGTCTCTGGTTTGGAAATGAGTTGTCAGAACTAGGCAGTCGTATGTAGGAGCTTCAAAAAGTGTGTGCAGAAATTACATTACCTTTTCATTTCCTTTTTCCACCAACTTTTTGAAAGTCTCTCATACCTTTAAACATAAGCTCATAGATCAAGGTGTTTTTTTTTAAGTTGGTGGGGTAAAAATGGAATGAAAAGATATAGAATGTTTCCAGAAGCTTTTTGAAGCCCCTTGAACCAAAGGATCCCTGGTAGTGTTGGGTAAGTGTTGGCCCACTAACTAGAAGATCAGTGGTTCAAACCCAACAGTACTATTGCAGGACAAAGATGAAGCTATCTGCTCAGGTAAAAATTTACAGCCTCAGAAACCCTATATGGAGTTGCCTAGAGGAGCCCTGGTGGAATGGTTGGGCAGCAAACCACAAGGTCAGCAGTTCGAAACCACCAGCTGTTCTCAGAAGTAAGACAGGGCTTTCTACTCGCATAAAGGTCTATGGTCTGAAACCCACAAGGGCAGTTCTCTCTCCTATAGGGTAGCTATGAACCAGCATCCAGGCGATGGCGGTGAGTGAGGAGCGCTGGGGACCTAGTGGGTAACTGATGGGCTGCTAGCTGCAAGGTCACTAGTCAGCGGTTAGTATGAAAGTTTGGTTTGGGTTTTCATACAAAGGAAAACAAAAGGATTTAGTATTTGCGCCCACTCATTGTTAGCATAGTGGTTACTCATTGGGCTGCTAACTGGAAGATCAGTAGTTCGGGACCACCAGCCGTTCCTAAGGTCTTTCTGCTTCTGTAGGGTCAGGGCAGTGAGTGAGCACTGATTTACAAAGCCTCATTTAGTCTCAGGAAATGACTTGTAAAGGAGCCCTGGTGGTGTGGTAGGTTACACATTGGGTTGCCCATTGCCAAGTCAGCACTTCAAAACCAGCCACTCCTCTAGAAAGATGAGACTTTCTCCTCCCGAATAGAGTTGGAGTCTTGGAAACCCACAGGGCAGTTCTGCCTTACCCTGTAGGTGCAGGAGTCAGAATCAGCTGGATGGCATTGAGTTTTTAACATTACTGGTCTGTTCTTGAAAGGAGGCCTGGGGTGACTTAATGGTTAAGTGTTGGACTGCTAACTTTAAGGTCAGTAGTTCTAAACCACTAGCTGCAGGAGAAAGACTTGGCTTTCTGCTCCCATAAGTGTTCCAGCCTTGGAAACCCACGGAGGCAGTTCTATCTTGCCCTATAGTGTTGCATTGAGTCAGCATTGACTCCAGTGAGTTTGGTTGGGTGTTATAGTATCTTATTACTAGTTAAAGTAAGCTTGTCTTGTGACTGAAGAGGGAGGATTCAAACCCTGGACTAACTTTTGCCCCATCATTCCCCTCAAAATATTCTAACTAATCTGAACTGCTTATTTTGTCACCAGTTACCTCTCACCTCCTTCCCAGCATTTACACAAGCTAGGGCCCAGCCCAGCACTCTCTTCCTGCCTCCAGCTGTTTTCTCCTCTCCATGCCAAAGGCACCCCTGGGAAGTCTTCCCCTGCTAGCCCTCTCTCAATTTCTGTAGGGACCTCTTTGAGGTACTTCCATAATACCCTGTGCTTATTCCTGATGATGTAGTTGCTGTTCAGTGGTAGTTTTCCACCAGACTGAATTCCTTAAAGATTTGCACCAGAACCCAACACAGTGACTGGCACAGAAGCTTCAATAGTATCTAGACAGAATATGGTTTCCAAGACTATAGTTTACTAAAGCAGATCGCCTCGTCTTTCTCCCACAAAATGGCCAGGGAGTTCAAACTACCAGCATTTTGGTTAGTAGCTGAGTATTGGTTAGAATCAAAATAAGTATACAAAATAAGCTGATAAAGATCATTGAAAATTAGCATTTTTGAAATGAAACATTTTGTGGGGAATTAAAATTTTCAAAAAAA